CATCTCTGGCCTGTACCCCAATTCTGTATGAATAAATAAATAAATCTTTAAAAAAAAAAAAAAAGAAAAAAAAAGAAAAGTCCAAGTTCATCAGTAGTACAACGAAAAGGAAGCCACCAATGTACCTCTAGGTTCAGGTGTCATTTTAAAAAGTGACATATTCTAGATCATGGTAAATAAAGTTCCCTCAGGTTCTGCCTAATTTATTTAACCTCTCATTCATCAGATATGGCCCCCACTATAAACAAGCATTGAGTACCTACTTATGTACTATCCCACGTGGTAATAAACATTACAGACAGGGTCTCTCATGATGTTATCTTATGCTGAGTGAGACACAGCAGAAAAGTGGGTTTAGTACTACATTTTAAGAGGCACACTGACAAAATGAAATGTGTTCAGAGGAGGTCATAAAACAAAACACTGAGGTGTCAATACAATAGTTTAAATAATGGATGATTAGGCTGAAGAGGAAACCAAAGGAAATACAACTTGTAGTATCTGGACACCATACAGACAGCATACAGAGAGTTACCCAGGCTGCCAAAGTGCTGGGGGTTAAGCAGACTCCAACATCAGAATGGAAACCCAGACAAATAAAAAGGACTCAGTGGAGTCTTCAGCTTTCACCATTATAAGCAGGGACAACAGGCGGCAAGTCTAAACCTGGATATGTGAGCTTGGGCAGATCACTGAGAAGAGGGCAGAAGATTAAATGAACTCTAGCTTGCCTTTCAGTTTTGATATTCCTTGAAGTTATGATTCAACTTTATGAATGTGAAAAGAAAAAAACTTAATATCCTTTGAGAAAAATTAGAAGTTGGCTAATATGCTTTCATTTCAACTAAAAGAAATAACATGGTTTTTTAAAAAGCAGTTTGACTTCAAACAATTCTAGTCAATTCTGACCTGTTGTCAGCAAGGTACAAAAATTGAAATTTCAAAGTACAACACCGCTACTTAACCCAAACAGCAAATACCTTTTGAAGGTGTAATGTAATGATTCGGTGTAGTGAGTACTTCTCTTTTATGTGGATTCCTAGTAACTGGGGTCTTTGGCTCAGGAAATACAAAGCACTCTTCATTCTTTACAGCAGACTTAGGAGTATATACATTCTCTTTGTTCTTTAATTTATTGGCAGATGCTTTGCATAATACTGGAGTTAATGAGTTAGATTCCAGACTATTTGATTCTGTCCAATGCTTGGCAAACTGGAAAAAAAAAGTTATTGAATAAAGCACACTGAAGAAGAAAAGTCAATTTCTTTACAACATGCTTAATTATTTGCAAATTACCTTGTACCATCTTTATTAAAATTAAATACTATCAAAAGGATATCATTGGCTGTAACAGAAAATTTGAAAATATATATTGTCTTTTTCAGTACATGTAGATCATTTTAGTCTGTTCTAATGACAGTTACTTTTCAACATGTTTCAGGCCAAGTGTTTAATCAAACATACCCAGATGCTAGACAATATTGAGAATAACCACAAATCCCTATGAATTATTTCCCATACCTTGATTGATATGGTTTGTACCAAAAAATTAAAATTTAGTCAATGACTAGGGCAGAAAACATGCTAAAATACTCTAGCAGAAATACTGGGTTGAAAATATTTTTTAATCCTTTTGAATTAATTTGAGCTTTAAGTTGAGCTTGCAAAGAATGAAGAAAAGTCCTTAAGAGGCCAAAATAAAAACAGGACCAGGAGTCCACAGATGTAACCAAGAATGAAACTGGTACTGGCAGGCATCTGGACAGCCTACCTACTATGTAATCTGCAGCTTCCTGGGTGGCTGCAGGCAGCTCAAGCCCACAGACCCCTGGTCACTGCTGGAGACTGAGGCTCAGAGGAAAGGCACAGTCAACAAAACCTGATGGATCAAAACTGATCTGCAGCTGACGGGTCCGATGCAGTTTGGGCTTTTGGCCAAGCACCAGCAGCAGAGTACATGGCCTCCTGCCAGGACAACATGGGGATTTCGACCCTTCCTTGGCTCAGGGGCTGCAGCACCAAGGGGCTTTATACTCTTGGCAATCTATTCCAGCAACTTTCACACCCCGCCCCCACACATACACATGGAGGAGCTTTCTTCCTGTGAAGATGAGGTTTCAACCAACACAATAGAAAGCACAGCACCCAAAACCATTACCTTGCAATCTGCAATTCTAATGCAAGATGATCACAACAGGACTGGACAGGAAAGCAGTTGAGCTCAATCCATAAAAATAATCATAGAACTCCAAATAGAATCAGGTAGGAGAGGAAGTGACCCCAGTCAACAGATCAAGACAAACCCTGGTGAAAAATGCCTAATAAATCAGAACTAACCAAAAACCTAAAAGAAGATTTCAGAGCAAGAATCTTATTGAAGGTTACTGAAATTAAGTGAACAATGCAAGGGCGAAACAAGAAATATAACAAGGAAAGAGCAAGGATGAAAAAGTTCTAAGTAGAAGTCATAAAGAATTTAACAGTAGAACTAAAAATACAATACAGGGGTTCAACAGTAGATTCAAAGGGGCCGATGAACAAATTAGCAAGATGGAAAACAGGGAGTAAAAAGCATCCAAAAAGACCAACAAAAGTAAAAAATAAAGACAACATATGAGACAGACAACATCAAGAGGGATAACATTCACATCACAGGAGTTCCAAAAGGAGAGGGGAGAGAGAAAAGGATAGAACCTTATTTGAAGAAATGATAGCTAAGAACTTCTCACACTAGGGAAGGAAACAGACATTCAGATCCAGGAAGCTCAAAGAGTTCCAAGCAAAATAAATCCAAACAGATGTTCACTAAGACTCCTTATAATTCACTATAATGGCTTTTTGTAAGAATTTTGTAAAAATTTTGGTGAATACAAGAGTAGTATACTAAAATCAATTTTACTATATTAGATACACTAGCACCAAATGGTTAGAAAAAGTAGTCTTAAAAAATGACCATTCCCAGGCTCTCCCAGGTGGCACAACAGGTTAAAGCACTGCATTATAAAGCTCTCTGAAGCTACTGCAGCACAAGCTACTGCAGCAGGAGTTCGATTCCCTGCCAGGGAGATGACCCACATGGCATGGCAGACCTCTCCTGACTCACCTGCTGCTCCCCTCAGCAGTGTACTTTGTCAGTCTGCCTGTTCTGCTTCCCACTCTGTCTGTGGTGAATCCTCTCACCTACCACACCTCTGGCCTACACCCCAGTTCTGTAAGCATAAATAAATAATCTTTAAAAAAAAAATGACCATTCCCAATAACAATTAAAAAAAAAAGCATGCACGAACAAATAAAATAAAAGATATAAAAGACCTTTTTGCAGAAATTTATACAACTTGATTCAAAGTAATAAATGGAAAGGCATATTATGAACATAGAGGGAGGAGTTGAAAGTCGAGATTTCAATTTTTCCCAAATTAAGTCTTAAATCAATGTAATTTAAATTTTTGAGTGTATGTGGAATTTGTCAAAATGAATCTAAAATATATATGGAAATGCACAGAAGAATAGCCAAGATAATCCTTAAGAAAAAAAAGATGGAATTGCAACTAAATATTAGAACTACTATAAAATTATAGAAATTAAGCTGCATGATATTGATGCAAAATAAATCAATAAAACAAAATATATCATAGATACATCCATATGACACTTGATATATAACAGAAGTGCCATGGTAGATCTGTGGGAAAGAAGATTTTTTCATTTCACTAGCATAACTGATTATATGGGGGAAAAGTTGGCTCCCTACATCATACAGGAGAATTAATTTCCAATAAATGTGAAAGGAAAAATTTTAAACAAAATATACATGGACTGCATTTATGATGTTTAAATAAGAATTTCCTTAAAAAGATAGTGCACATGGGGATTATAACTGAGACAGAAAAAGGCACAAAATGATATAAAAATAAACTATTATAATAATCTAAAAGTCACCAAAAAAAGTTAATACAAAATAATTACAAACCATTAAGGAACAGCTAACTAATTAAGATTAATGACTTCTGTCACTAAAGTAAAAAAGATAAGTGATAAACTCAGATATACAATTCTACCATATAACGAACAAAGGACCAGAATTAAAGTTTATATAAAGAACTTCTTTTAAAGAAACAATTCAATAGAAAAATAAGCAAAGTACACAACAAAACTAGCTCATAAATTAGGAAGAACCAATGACCAATGAATATATGAAAAGAAGCATAAGTAATCAGAAAAGTACAAATTAAAACCACAATGAAATATCACTTTATACTCACCAGATCAGAAAAATATTAAATAGCTAAAAATATCAAGCATCACTTAATATGGAGTCACTGAGAAAACTCATATACTGAAACAGAATCAATACAACTACTTGGAGGGAAAAGTTGCCTGACACAAGCTATGTAATGGCTATCGTCTGACAGATTCCGGGTAGCTCAGGAAAAGCTCTGAAAAATCAGAATTTCCACTACTAACTTATGTTATGACTCCCTTTTTTGTATAATCATAATATCAAAAAATATTGTAGCAACATCAGTTTGTAACTGGATTGCCTTAGCTCTAAATTGGCTACCTGGCCTGGGCAAAGTACAAGCTGAGCTGCTCCTGAGCAGGAAATTCCTTTTACTGAAGACAAAAGGCAAGCTCTTGGAGAGATAAGATCCCGGAGCATCAAGACTCCTGGAAAGCTTCCTTGGTCTTTTGACAAAAAGCAATTCTTAGATAACTCTCAGGGCATAAGGACCCATGGACAATTTCCTAATACTATCAACACAGGTTTTGTTTAATGTGTAACTATGTGACTTCTTCTTAATTTACTCTTTTCCTAAAACAATCACTAATTATTCTCTGCTAGTCTTAATTAATCTTTTCCTAAAACAAACACTAGCTACTCTGCTAACCTTAAGTTAGCCATTAGCTTCTCTGTAGACAATCACTGATGACTCTGCTAACACAATTTATTCCTTCCCTAGGACTCCTAAATCCTTTGCTAACAGCTCATCCTTTCCCAGACCCTGATCCTTTAAAGTCATAGTTAAACATCCGTATACATGAAAGCTATCACAAAGATGTATAGTATAGTGTGCCATAAAGTAGCAGGAAGAGGATGCATTGTTCCCCTCTTCCTTTAAAACTTTTATGCTGATTTCTTATTAACTTACCTGATGCATTATTGTAACTAAATCTTGCTAAACCGTATAAATAAAGACCTGCAAAAAGATGAGCAGGAAGATTTGCACCCAACTCCGACTCCCATGTCTTCCTTGCTCCCTTTCCCCTTTTTCTCCTTCTCCCCTTTTTAGGAATCTCCGCTTGCCGACGCCTTCCCACCTTAGGGTCCTGCCTGTCTTGCCTCCAGACACCTCAATAGTTGGAGCTGGTCTCCAACAGTTGCCATTATCAGTTAAGGTTGCAGATACTCTTTCCACTTCTAAGCATGTACTTGTAGCACTCTCACACACAGGGAGAAGGTTCTGGCTGGAGTCTGGGACTCAGCTTTTAAAAAATTCCCAATGCTGCTAAGTCTGTTTGTACAGATGGAGCATGGAACCCTGCTGCACCAGGTTATACAGACTGTATAAACAGTGTGATGTATGGTGAACACCTGCTTTCCTTCTGGAAGTCTAGAATTTCTATGACTGTGACTAATCATACCAGCAAAAAATGTCTATGTAACCAGCCCTCAAAAAGTGAATTGGATTCTGAGTCTCTGGTGAGTATCTGGAGCAGAAAACACACAAACCCATACCCATCCTCACTGCTGAAGGGAGGACTACACTGTGTGATCCCTCAGAGTGAGTGAGAAAGAACATTAATTATATATCCAATAAGTTCCACAAACTCCAGGTAGGATGAAAAGATTACAAAAGGGAAAGAGGATATTACACCTCAAGTTTTAAAAGGAACGGGAACAATAATGTTTTCTAAAATGGAATCTTGATTTTCTTCAACTTGCAAATAATTGGCTTCCTTCCATTTCATTCATATCCCAAAAATCTCTAATTAGTTTTTTCACTAGCTTAAGAATTCACTACCTTTGCAAGTATATCTGAGATCTCATGTTAATTTTTTTTTTTCAATTGAGACAACATATTCTGCCTTAAATAGTAGTAAAAAGGGCCAACCTGTGGTGTTTGGGGAGTAGCCACACCTGTTGATGAACCTTCTTCACACCATTCATAGTCTACTAGCCCATTCGCATCATTTTCGTCATTTGTGGTCATATCTTCTAGACTCAGATTTTTTGACTATTAAAAAACATAAGAATATAGAGACATCACCACCATGATTCAAATATTAAAATAGTACATTCCAGCACAGGGCAGAGCCCTGGAAGCAGAAACAAAGGAAAGATACCAAATTGAAGGTGCTCACCATCCAGTACAGAAAACAGAAAGTCCAAAAAATTGAATTTAAACTACCAGATAGAAGAAATTTCTGGCTCTGAAAGATTACATCTTAGAACATTCTTTTGTTATATGACATACACCTTAACAGCATCAAATAACTCCTTTATAAATCTATAAGTAAAATCCTTTGTAATCTTAAAAATAAGAAAAGCAAAAAACCTGAATTCCAGGTTTCGTGGCTGTACAAACATGAGATTTCCAGCAGGAGTGAACTAGTCTAATTAAAGGTCTCCTGGAGACAGGATCACCACAACAACATTGCTAGATTTTCCCCCTCCATCATCCCTGTAAACATTCTTTATAAATAAGGGAAACTTATTCTAAATAAGAAAGGGAAAACCAGATATCGCCTATACCCTAAGGATTTGGAACGTAGTTGGATTTTCTATTTCTTCTTCCTTCCCTTTCCCTCAACATCTACTTGCCTACACAGGAAATTTTACCTGATTTTCTGGTAGCTCATCCTTTCTTTTCCAGTCCCAACACCATGTTCGAATTCAAGGGCTACCCAAACCTGAACTACACAGACAATACAGTTTCTGCCACTAATCCTTCTACCCCTCAACCAGGGATGGCAGGAGTTCTCGAAGACTGCAAATTACCATCAACTAGAACTAGCTATATGGAGTGCTAAGCTGAGAAAAATACTAAAGCTAATTCTAGGCTCCATGGGGAATAACAGTGCTGTATGAATAACACTGTGTGGATATTCAATAGAGGGTAACAGTACACACACTTCCCTCACTGAGCGATCCTATAAACCACTGCATGAATTTTTCAAAATTATGGTCATGTCAGTGATTTATTAGGTCTTGCTCACAAATCCATAGTTCCCATTACCTAAAGTATAAAGTTTAATCCCTCTGACATAGCATTTCAAGGTTCTACCTACTCTACCTTACCTCTTCTCCTCCTCCCCTTCCTCCCTTCCCTTCTGTCCTACTTGTAAGCTCTATTTTAACCAACCACTCTAGCCACCATCGCCAGAACACCTGGATCATATTTAGGTGCCTTAACTAGTGAATGCCCTGATCTTGGCCTGAATATTATGCTCCTTCTTTCCCATTTTTCTAAACTTAGTAGCTCTGGGTTGAACTGCCCATGGGGTACACTCTAAAGTAGTCCTCTGAAGTCCCAATAGCACAGCTCTAGCCCTCACCTGTCACACATTATCTACTCTGATGTGGTGTTTTTTGTAAGTTATGGCTCAACTTAACTGTCACAGAGCAAGTGCCATGCTTTATACAGACTTTTCAGAAGGGTCTAGCATGGGGCCTGAAAGGCTAATGAGGTAATGATGAGAAGATATTTTGTGGTCTTAGATCAGACTGTATTACTGTTTCACTGAAAGTGACATCTATTGGTTAACAGTTCAGAATTACTTACTTTCTTATAAACAACAGCCCAGAGAGAAAGAATGGCTCAATCAAAGGAAAAGTAGTACAAGAGACTATGTGACTGTTTCAAGGACCTGAAAAGAATCCAAAATTTTATTTCCACTTCATTTATCTTTGGAAAAAACTGTTTGCCATGGAATCAACCCAAATGCCCAAAAGTAGATGACTGGATTAAAAAGATGTGGCACAGGCCCTCCGTGGTGGC